ACAATTATATGTGTAAGATTCACCAAACTTGAGCGTTCCTTACAGATTCGTCGAAAAAAATCGAAAGAAACAAAGGTTTTTCAGATAATGATTTGGGTGCCTCCATGAGGGTCCTTTCGAAAGGGTTGAGGTTGTGAAGTCTTATCGACACGTGTAAATATTTTTTTTCTTCAATATTTTAAGCTTAGAACAATATTTAGTGGATATGGTATGATACTAAAACGAGAAAACAACTTTTCAGATCGAGTTAACGACCCTATCAAAAAGGAAAAAAAAGTTCCTATGTGTTCTATGGAATTTGACTGCAAAATGGCATGGAAGCGAAAGTCAAAAAAATTCGTATTTTAACCAATTATATGTGTAAGATTCATAAAAATTTGGCGTTCCTTATAGATTCGTCGAAAAAGATCGAAAGAAACATAAGTTTTTCAGATAGTGATTTGGGTGCCTCCATGAGGGTCTTTCCATAAGGGTAGACGTTGTGAAGTCTTATCGACACGAATAAATGTTTTTTTTTCTTCCATATTTTAAGCTTAGGACAATCTTTAGTGGATATGGTATGATACTTAAACGAGAAAACAACTTTTCCGATCGAGTTAACGACCCTGTCTCAAAGGGGAAAAAAGTTCCTATGCCAACACCTTTCGAATTTGACTGAAAAATGGCCCGAAAGCGAAAGTGAAAAAAAAATTCGTATTTGAACAAATTATATGTGTAAGCTTCATGAACTTGAGCGTTCCTTACAGATTCGTCGAAAAATATCGAGAGAAACAAAGGTTTTTCCGATACTGATTCGGGTGCCTCCATGAGGGTCTTTTCATAAGGGTTGAGGTTGTGAAGTCTTATCGACCTGAGGAAATGTTTTTTTTCTTCCATATTTTAAGCTTAGGACAATCTTTAGTGGATATGGTATGATACTAAAACGAGAAAACAACTTTTCAGATCGAGTTAAAGACCCTGTCTCAAAGGGGAAAAAAGTTCCTATGTTAACACCTTTGGAATTTGACTGCTTAATGGCCCGGAAGCGAAAGTGAAAAAAAAATTCGTATTTGAACAAATTATATGTGTAAGATTCATAAACACTAGTGTTCCTTACAGATTCGTCGAAAAAGATCGAAAGAAACAAAGGTTTTTCAAATACTGATACGGGTGCCTCCATGTGGTCTTTTCATAAGGGTTAAGGTTGTGAAGTCTTATCGACACGAGTAAATATTTTTTTTCTTCCATATTTTAAGCTTACTACAATCCTTAGTGGATATGGTATGATACTAAAACGAGAAAACAACTTTTCAGATCGAGTTAACGACCCTGTCTCAATGGAGAAAAAAGTTCCTATGTTAACACCTATGGATTTTGAGTGCAAAATGGCCCGGAAGCGAAAGTGAAAAAAAGTCGTATTTTCACCATTTATATGTGTAAGACTCTTAAACTTGAGCGTTTCCTTACAGATTCGTCGAAAAACATCGAAAGAAACAAAGGTTTTTCACGTAGCCATTCGGGTGCCTCCACGAGGGTCTTTTCGTAAGGGTTGAGGTTGTGAAGTCTTTTCGACACGAGTAAATGTTTTTTTTCTTCCATATTTTAAGCTTAGGACAATCTTTAGTGGATATGGTATGATACTAAAACGAGAAAACAACTTTTCAGATCGAGTTAACGACCCTGTCTCAAAGGAGAAAAAAGTTCCTATGTTAACACCAATGGAATTTGAGTGCAAAATGGCCCGGAAGCGAAAGTGAAAAAAATTCGTATTTTAACCAATTATATGTGTAAGATTCATCAAACTTTAGTGTTCCGTACGGATTCGTCGTAAAAGATCGAAAGATACAAAGGTTTTTCAGATAGTGATTTTGGTGCCTCCATGAGGGTATTTTCTTAAGGGTTAAGGTTGTGAAGTCTTATCGACACGAGTAAATATTTTTTTTTTCTTCCATATTTTAAACTTAGGACAATCTTTAGTGGATATGGTATGATACTTAAACAAGAAAATACCTTTTCAGATCGAGTTAACGACCCTGTCTCAAAGGGGAAAAAAGTTTCTATGTTAACACCTTTGGAATTTGACTGCAAAATGGAACGAAAGCGAAAGTGAAAAAAAAATTCGTATTTGAACAAATTATATGTGTAAGATTCATAAACTTGAGTGTTCCTTACAGATTCGTCGAAAAAGATCGAAAGAGACAAAGGTTTTTCAAATACTGATACGGGTGCCTCCATGGGGTCTTTTCATAGGGGTTGAGATTGTGAAGTCTTATCGACACGAGTAAATATTTTTTTTCTTCCATATTTTAAGCTTACTACAATCCTTAGTGGATATGGTATGATACTAAAACGAGAAAACAACTTTTCAGATCGAGTTAACGACCCTGTCTCAAAGGGGAAAAAAGTTCCTATGTTAACACCTATGGATTTTGAGTGCAAAATGGCCCGGAAGCGAAAGTGAAAAAAAGTCGTATTTTCACCATTTATATGTGTAAGACTCTTAAACTTGAGCGTTTCCTTACAGATTCGTCGAAAAACATCGAAAGAAACAAAGGTTTTTCACATAGTCATTCGGGTGCCTCCACGAGGGTCTTTTCGTAAGGGTTGAGGTTGTGAAGTCTTTTCGACACGAGTAAATATTTTTTTTCTTCCATATTTTAAGCTTACTACAATCCTTAGTGGATATGGTATGATACTAAAACGAGAAAACAACTTTTCAGATCGAGTTAACGACCCTGTCTCAAAGGGGAAAAAAGTTCCGATGTTAACACCTTTGGAATTTGACTGCCAAATGGCCCGGAAGCGAAAGTGAAAAAAAATTCGTATTTGAACCAATTATATGTGTAAGATTCATAAACTTGAGCATTCCATACAAATTCGTCAAAAGAGATTGAAAGAAACAATGGTTTTTCAGATACTGATACGGGTGCCTCCATGAGGGTCTTTTCATAAGGGTTGAGGTTGGGAAGTATTATCGACATGAGTAAATATTTTTTTTCTTCCATATTTTAAGCTTAGTACAATCTTTAGTGGATATGGTATGATACTTAAACGAGAAAATAACTTTTCAGATCGAGTTAACGACCCTGCCTCAAAGGGGGAAAAAGTTCCTATGCCAACACCTTTGGAATTTGACTGCAAAATGGCTCGGAAGCGAAAGTGAAAAAAATTCATATTTTAACCAATTATATGTGTAAGATTCCTAAACTTGATCGTTCCTTATAGATTCGTCGAAAAAGTTCGAAAGAAACAAAGGTTTTTCAGATAGTGATTCGGTAGCCTCCATGAGGGTATTTTCATAAGGGTTGAGGTTGTGAAGTCTTATCAACCCGAGGAAATGTTGTTTTTCTTCCATATTTTAAGCTTAGGACAATATTTAGTTGATATGGTATGATACTTAAACGAGAAAACAACTTTTCAGATCGAGTTAACGACCCTGTCTCAAAGGGGAAAAAAGTTCCTATGTTAACACCTATGGAATTTGAGTGCAAAATGGCCCGGAAGCGAAAGTGAAAAAAATTTGTATTTTCACCAATTATATGTGTAAGGTTCTTAATCTTGACCGTTCCTTACAGATTCGTCGAAAAATATCGAGAGAAACAAAGGTTTTTCCGATACTGATTCGGGTGCCTCCATGAGGGTCTTTTCATAAGGGTTGAGGTTGTGAAGTCTTATCGACACTAGTAAATGTTTTTTTTCTTCCATATTTTAAGCTTAGGACAATCTTTAGTGGATATGGTATGATCCTTAAACTAGAAAACAACTTTTCAGATCGATTTAACGACCCTGTCTCAAAGGGGAAAAAAGTTCCTATGTGTTAGTGAAATAGGAATTGATTGAATGATTGATGAGAAGATTGAATTTTGGAGAGCAAGAATGCTCCATATTTATACAGAAAATCTACCTAAAATATCGGGAGAAAATTTGGTAACAAACCAGTAAAAAAATCAAAATCAAATCAAAACTAAATCAAAACAAAAACTAAATCTAACTCCTAACGAGATTTGATTAGATACTAACTGACAGCAATCTAAACAAATACATGATCTTTAACACTCCTCCTTGTTTAGATGCTGTGAACTCCAAGCTTTTTTCTGAACACCCATCTTACTCTAATTATCTTTCTGTTTAGAGGTCGATCAACCAACTCCCAAGTTTTGTTTTTCTTGATCACTGAAAGCTCGTCCTCTGACAGGTGCATCATCAACCGAAGCATCTTGTCGCTCATCTTCAGACTCTTCTAACATGCTACCAAAGAAATTGTTTTGTGCATTAGAAATCTGATTCACCTTCATGAGTTCTTCCCAATTCCATTGCTCATTTCTAGCAAAATGAACATCTCGGCTCACAAAAACATGACTAGTGTGTGGTTGAAAAACTTTATAAGCTTTGGATATAGTGCTATACCCAACAAAGATGCCAACTTCTGACTTTTTGTGAAGCTTATCACGCTTGACCTGTGGAATGTGAGTGAAGCAAAGACACCTAAATACTCTAAGGAACTTTAAAGAACGTTTGTAACCATACCAAACTTCAAATGGTGTCAGATCCTTCACAGCTTTTGTTGAAATTCGATTTTGCAAGCACACAACAGTGTTTGCTGCTTTTCCCCAAAAACGTTTTGGAAGATCCTTCTCATGAAGCATGCATCTCATCATCTCCATTATGAATTTATTCCTCCTTTCAGTGACGTCATTCTGTTGAGGAGTGTATGGTGTTGTCAATTGATGTTCAATTTCAGCCTCTTCACAAAACCGGTTAAAAGTTTCTGAAGTGTACTCCTTGCTATTATCTGATCTTATAGTCTGAATCAAGCATGCGCTTTCATTCTTAACTTTGGCTTTGAATTTCCAAAATACACCCGCAACTTCTGATTTTTGCTTCAGCAAGAATATCCAACACATTCTCGTTAGATCATTAATAAAAGCAATGTAATAAAGATTACCATTTAATGATGGTGTTCGCTGAGGACCACAAAGATCAATATGAACCAGCTGCAGTTTTTTCGAGACTCTCCATGCCTATTTAGGAAAGGGTTGCCTATGTTGCTTCCCAAAAATACAAGCACGGTAAGGAGGCATGTCATCATCAATGTCAGTGAGTTCTTCTACCAACTTCTTTGACTGCATCTGAAGCAAACCTCGATGATAAAAGTGTCTAAGTCTTTTGTGCCAAATCTCAGTGGCACTAACTCTGGATATAAAGGCCGTCGGATTTAGATCAAAGCCTTTTCCTTCCATTTTGACATTGAACAAGTCTTTGCCACTAGCATCTTTGATCAAGCACTGCTTATTCTCAAACAACACTTTATAGCCTTTATCAAGTAACTGACCAACACTTAAGATATTTTGATCAATTTTAGGCACAAATAAAACATCTGGAATAAATTTTGTACCTTCATAACTTGTTATAGCTACTGTGCCTTTACCCTTGACTTCCATGTGTTCACCATTGCCAATCCTCACTCTCTTATCTTCTTCGGTGTCTCTTAATTCCTCAAAAGACTCCTTGTCATATGTCATGTGATTTGTGCACCCACTGTCAATCAACCAGCTCTCGCATGATTCTTTGCTTGAGGAAGAAGTGACCATACACAATTGATCTTCTTCTTCTTCTTCTTCTTGATCAACTACCTGTGCATCTACTTCTTTCACCAGATCTTTGGCTTTGCAGATCACAGCTTCATGTCCAAGTTGATTGCATTTGGAGCAGAAGGCGTCAGGTCTTCTCCAACACTTGTATGGTGGATGACCTTTCATCTCATAATGGCGGCAAGGTGGATAGGATTTTTTGAAACCTCCTTCTTTTGTCTTCTGATAATTGGCAGATGAATCTCCATACGTCAATTGATTTTTGAAATTTTTATTGTTTTTATACCTGCTGCTGTCTTGATGCTTAACACGTAAGGCACCTTCAATCACTCCTTCTTGCCTCATAGACCTCCTTTGCTCTTGTGCTTGTAAAGCATTCAAGAGCTCTGTAAGAGAAATCTTTGACAAGTCTTTGGTGTTCTCCAGAGTAGTAATGGTGGCTTCAAACTTCTCTGGAACAGTGACTAGCAGCTTCTCAACGATCCTTGAATCATTTAAAATAGAACCAAGCAATCTCACCTTGTTGGCAATACTGTGAAGTCTGTCAGAGTACTCTTTCACTGACTCTGACTCCTTCATCTTCTGCAACTCGAAATCCCTAATCAAATTTAGGGTTTTCATTCCACGAATCCTCTCATCTTCTTCATATTCGGCCTTGAGATAATCCCAGATTTCCTTTGCTGTTTTGAGGGACATTATTCGCATGAAGATCATTTGTGATACAGCGGCAAATAGGCAAGCTTTCGCCTTTGATTTCCTTGTCTTCTTTTCCTTCTGTAATTTGATTTGTGCTACAGTAGGATTTGCTGGAAGCGGAGGGACCTCGTAATCCTCTTCTATTGCTTCCCAAAGATCCAAGGCCTCCAAATAAGTCTCCATACGAACTGCCCACATTTGATAATTGTCTCCATCGAAAACTGGTGGTGCAACTGCGGAAAAACTGGATTCTCCTACCATTTTGATCTCACAGATCCCTTAAGAAGATAGCTCTGATACCAATTGTTAGTGAAATAGGGATTGATTGAATGATTGATGAGAAGATTGAATTTTGAAGAGCAAGAATGCTCCATATTTATACAGAGAATACAAAAGATATTCAGAAAATCTACCTAAAATATCGGGAGAAAATCTGGTAACAAACCAGTAAACAAATCAAAATCAAATCAAAACTAAATCAAAACAAAAACTAAATCTAACTCCTAACGAGATTTGATTAGATACTAACTGACAGCAATCTAAACAAATACATGATCTTTAACACTATGCTAACACCTTCGGAATTTGAGTGCAAAATGGCCCAGAAGCGAAAGTGAAAAAAATTCATATTTTAACCATTTATATGTGTAAGGTTCTTAAACCTGAGCGTTCCTTAAAGATTTGTCAAATAACATCGAAAGAAACAAAGGTTTTTCAGATAGTGATTCGGGTGCCTCCATGAGGGTCATTTCATAAGGGTTGAGGTTGTGATGTCTTGTTGACGCGAGTAAATATATTTTTTTTTTCATATTTTAAGCTTAGGAGAATCTTTAGTGGATATGGTATGATACTAAAATGAGAAAATAACTTTTCAGATCGAGTTAACGACCCTGTCTTAAAGGGGGAAAAAGTTTCTATGTTAACACCTATGGAATTTAACTGCAAAATGGCCCGGAAGCGAAAGTGAAAAAAATCGTATTTTTATCAATTATATGTGTAAGAATCATCAAACATGAGTGTTCCTTACAGTTTCGTAAAAAAAAATCGAAAGAAACAAAGGTTTTTCAGATAATGATTTGGGTGCCTCCTTGAGAGTATTTTCATAAGGGTTCAAGTTGTGAAGTCTTATCGACACGAGTAAATATTTTTATTCTTCAATATTTTAAGCTTAGGAAAATCTTTAGTGGATATGGTATAATACTAAAAGGAGAAAATAACTTTTCAGATCGAGTTAACGTCCCTGTCAAAAAGGGGAAAAAAGTTCCTATGCTAACACCTATGGAATTTGACTGCAAAATGGCCCAGAATCGAAAATGAAAAAAATTCATATTTTCACAAATTATATGTGTAAGATTCTTAAACTTGAGCGTTTCCTTACAGATTCGTCGAAAAACATCGAAAGAAACAAAGGTTTTTCAGATAGTGATTCGGGTGCCTCCATGAGGGTCTTTTCATAAGGGATGAGGTTGTGAAATCTTATCGACATTAGTAAATGTTTTTTTTCTTCCATATTTTAAGCTTAGGACAATCTTTAGTGGATATGGTATGATACTTAAACGAGAAAACAACTTTTCCGATCGAGTTAACGACCCTGTCTCAAAGGGGAAAAAAGTTCCTATGCCAACACCTTTCGAATTTGACTGCAAAATGGCCCGGAAGCGAAAGTGAAAAAAAAATTCGTATTTGAACAAATTATATGTGTAAGATTCATGAACTTGAGCGTTCCTTACAGATTCGTCGAAAAATATCGAGAGAAACAAAGGTTTTTCCGATACTGATTCGGGTGCCTCCATGAGGGTCTTTTCATAAGGGTTTAGGTTGTGAAGTCTTATCGACACGAGTAAATGTTTTTTCTCTTCCATATTTCTAGCTTAGGACAATCCTTAGTGGATATGGTATGATACTAAAACGAGAAAACAACTTTTCAGATCGAGTTAACGACCCTGTCTCAAAGGGGAAAAAAGTTCCTATGTTAACACCTATGGAATATGAGTGCAAAATGGAACGACCCTGTCTCAAAGGGGAAAAAAGTTCCTATGTTAACACCTATGGAATATGAGTGCAAAATGGTCCGGAAGCGAAAGTGAAAAAAATTTGTATTTTAACCATTTATATGTGTAAGATTCTTAAACCTGAGCGTTCCTTACAGATTTGTTAAAAAACATCGAAATAATCAAAGGTTTTTCAGATAGTGATCGGGTGCCTCCATGAGGGTCATTTCATAAGGGTTGAGGTTGTGATGTCTTGTTGACGCGAGTAAATATTTTTTTTCTTCCATATTTTAAGCTTAGGAGAATCTTTAGTGGATATGGTATGATACTAAAATGAGAAAATAAATTTTCAGATCGAGTTAACGACCCTGTCACAAAGGGGAAAAAAGTTGATATGTTAACACCTATGGAATTTGACTGCAAAATGGCCCGTAAGCGAAACTCAAAAGAATTCGTATTTTAACTATTTATATGTGTAAGATTCTTAAACTTGAGCGTTCCTTACAGATTCGTCGAAAAAAATCGAAAGAAACAGAGGTTTTTCAGATAGTGATTCAGGTGCCTCCATGAGGGTCTTTTCATACGGGTTGAGGTTGTGAAGTCTTGTCAACACGAGTAAATGTTTTTTTTCTTCCATATTTTAAGCTTAGGAGAATCTTTAGTGGATATGGTATGATACAAAAACCTGAAAACAACTTTTCAGATCGAGTTAACGACCCTGTCTCAAATGGGAAAAAAGTTCCTATGTTAACACCTATTTAATTTGACTGCAAAATGGCCCGTCAGCGAAAGTGAAAAGAATTCGTATTTTAACCATTTATATGTGTAAGATTCTTAAACTTGAGCGTTTCCTTACAGATTCGTCGAAAAGCATCGAAAGAAAGAATGGTTTTTCAGATAGTGATTCGGGTGCCTCCATGAGGGTCTTTTCATAAGGGTTGAGGTTGTGAAGTCTTGTCGACACGAGTAAATGATTTTTTTCTTCCATATTTTAAGCTTAGGACAATCTTTAGTGGATATGGTATGATACTAAAATGAGAATACAACTTTTCAGATCGAGTTAACGACCTTGTCTCAAATGGGAAAAAAGTTCCTATGTTAACACCTATGAAATTTGACTGCAAAATGGCCCGTAAGCGAAAGTGAAAAGAATTCGTATTTTAACCATTTATATGTGTAAGATTCTTAAACTTGAGTGTTCCTTACAGATTCGTCGAAAAACATCGAAAGAAACTGAGGTTTTTCAGATAGTGATTCGGGTGCCTCCATGAGGGTCTTTTCATAAGGATTGAGGTTGTGAAGTCTTGTCGACACGAGTAAATGTTTTTTTTCTTCCATATTTTAAGCTTAGGACATTCTTTAGTGGATATGGTATGATACTAAAACGAGAAAACAACTTTTCGGATCGAGTTAACGACACTGTCTCAAAGGGGAAAAAAGTTCCTATGTTAACACCTTTGGAATTTGACTGCAAAATTACCCGGAAGCGAAAGTGAAAAAAATTCGTAGTTTAACCATTTATATGTGTAAGATTCTTAAATTGGGCGTTCCTTATAGATTCATCGGAAAACATTGAAAGAAAAACAGGTTTTAAAGATACTGATTCGGGTGCCTCCATGAGGGTCTTTTCATAAAGGATGAGGTTGTGAAGTCTTGTCGACACGAGTAAATGTTTTTTTTCTTCCATATTTTAAGCTTAGGGAAATCTTTAGTTGATATGGTATGATACTACAACGAGAAAACAACTTTTCAGATCGAGTTAACGACACTGTCTCAAAGCGGAAAAAAGTTCCTATGTTAACACCTATGTAATTAGACTGCAAAATGGCCCGGAAGCGAAAGTGAAAAAAATTCGAATTTTAACCATTTATATGTGTAAGATTCTTAAACCTAAGCGTTCCTCACAGATTCGTCAAAAAACATCGAAAGAAACAAAGGTTTTTCAGATGGTGATTCGGGTGCCTCCATGAGGGTCTTTTCATAAGGGTTGAGGTTGTGAAGTCTTGTTGACACGAGTAAATGTTTGTTTTCTTCCATATTTTAAGCTTAGGAAAATCTTTAGTTGATATGGTATGATACTACAACGAGAAAATAACTTTTCAGATCGAGTTAACGACCTTGTCTCAAAGTGGAAAAAAATTCCTATGTTAAAGCCTTTGGAATTAGACTGCAAAATGGCCCGGTAGCGAAAGTGAAAAAAAATCGTACTTTAACCATTTATATGTGTAAGATTCTTAAACCTGAGCGTTCCGTACAGATTCGTCGAAAAACATCGAAACAAACAAAGGTTTTTCAGATAGTGATTCGTGTGCCTCCATGAGGGTCTTTTCATAAGGGTTGAGGTTGTGAAGTCTTGTCGACACTAGTAAATGTTTTTTTTCTTCCATATTTTAAGCTTAGGATATTCTTTAGTGGATATGGTATGATACTAAAACGAGAAAACAACTTTTCAGATCGAGTTAACGACACTATCTCAAAGGGGAAAAAAGTTCCTATGTCAACACCTATGGAATTTTAGTGCAAAATGGCCCGGAAGCGAAAGTTCAAAAAATTCGTATTTTCACAAATTATATGTGTAAGGTTCTTAATCTTGACCGTTCCTTATAGATTCGTCGAAAAATATCGAGAGAAACAACGGTTTTTCCAATACTGATTCGGGTGCCTCCATGAGGGTCTTTTCATAAGGGTTGAGGTTGTGAAGTCTTATCGACACGAGTAAATGTTTTTTTTCTTTCATATTTTTCACTTAGGACAATCCTTAGTTGATATGGTATGATACTAAAACGAGAAAACAACTTTTCAGATCGAGTTAACGACCCTGTCTCAAAGGGGAAAAAAGTTCCTATGTTAACACCTATGTAATTAGACTGCAAAATGGCACAGAAGCGAAAG